TGTAGATTGAGTAGATCTATAAACATTCAAAATTTTTGAAAACTGATGGTCAAGATAATATATGACATGATGCATCAATTTCAAAACTTGAAATCTAGTTTTTTTCAGGTCCATACATATTGAGATCGAGATTATCAAATTGAAGGCTTTTCAACATCCAAACAACCCTGTCGAGTGAACTTTCTACACTATGCGGTCCAAAAGTATAAAGCATCCATCTTAAATATGGATGCAAATAAGTAGTCCATCTAAAAACAAGTGTAACCAACGGTCCAAATGTTTTATTAATATAACTATTATTTCTAGTTTTCAATTTATTATTATTATTATTATTATTATTTTAATATTCATGATTTACAAGTTAAAGATTTTATATTTTCTAAAAATTACTATCAAATTATATTTTAAAAATATATTTATTGCGCAGCCTGCATTTCTACAGTATGCGGGCTGGCCGCATAGAAACCGTGTATTTTTTTCCTCTTTTTCTCTCACTCCCTCAGGATTTGTTTCCCTTAAGTTTTGGCTCCAAGAGCCAAACTTTAAAAAATGCAGCGTGTACCGGGGCATGGAAGCCACGAGTTCCATTTTTCTTACCCGTTTTTGAGTATCTGTTCCAAAAATGGTTTAATAAATCAAACAAATACCCCAAGAAGAATGGCCCCAAAAGAGAAGAATTGTAATCAGGAAATGTACACAGTGAGACCAATTACTTTTGATACAAGAATATCATAATTATTATTGATCATTAAATGTAAAATCAGATGGTTGAAGATATATCATTGGGGCACATAATCCACAACAAATTTTTTCAAATGCTGTGACATAATAACACATAATAAAAAATAAATCTTTTTGAATATTGTGACACACTTCAATCTATTGAATTTAACATCCAATGTCTAACAATAATTCTAACCTTCTTGGATCAAAAGTAAATACTTTTATATCATCAAGTGTACGTTGCCGATAAGTCATTTGGCACCAAGAATGTATTGTTTCAAGGTCGGGTGGCAATCCATGAGGCTGACCGAGGCCTAGCCAGCTAGGCCAAAAATAAATGGAAAAAAAAATATAAGAGGAAAAAAAAAAGGGGCCAGATCAGGCTGAAAAGGGCTGGCACTAGCCCTCTAAACAGTTCGAGGCCCTATTTTTTAGGGCCGGACAAACCGGCCAGGCGGTCCGGCCCATTGGCAGGCCTAATATGAAGATTCCACCTTAGTTCATATTTTGTTAGGCAGCCAGCGTGAGCAATTATTTGGAGAAGAAGATGCACTGTCGATTTATGGATTAAGGTTGGTCGGAGATATTCCGAAATAATAAGGGTGGTCGGAAAAGTTTTTGGTCATCCATCTTTTGACGGTGAGAGTTACACGTGTTGTAATCTAGACCGCACAATGCATGTGGCTCCATGCTTGGCGTCCCGACAAAAGGAATAAATCTTAAACAATTTAAGGCAGAAGCGTGCAAGACATCACTCCTTGTTATATTATATATGAATTTAGGTAAAAATTTAAGGTGCATCCGTAAATGTGGAGGTAAGATGCACTTTCAAATTTCATCTTGGTATATAATTTTGATTTAAAATGTTGTTAGGATTATCTTAAAATTTATTTTTATATATAATTATAAAATTTTTAATTTAAAAAATGGTTAAAATCAAGTTGACTATAAATATATGAAAATCTTGAAAATGGACAATGTAGATAATATGTTGTAAAATTCACTATTTTTGAGACCTAAAATCTTTTTATTTTTCATGGTCATACATCTCGATGTCGAGATGATCAATCAAAGGGTTTTTCAACATCAAAACCATATTTTCTGATGGATTTTTAAGGTGTTATATGTAGTTCTACATTATAATGTTACATTCGTATATAAACTTTTTCTAAAAATTTATATAAGATTGCAACTTTATACTGTTGAAGTATGGTGCACCTAAAAAATCCTACAATGGAGAGTATTCCGGGATAGGAGAACCTTCCAACTGATCATCTTAACTTTGAGATGAATAGACAAAGAAAAAAAGAATTCCAAGTCTAATAACCAATATATTTTATAACAAGTTATCTGGACCGTCTATTTTTTAGATTTTCAAATATTTTTTGATCTACTCTATTTATATCATTTTTAAAATTATAAATTTCATAAAGGATGATAAAAAAACATTTTAAAGCCATCATAAAGTTTTTAATATAAAAAAACATCATCAAATAAACATTATAAGCGTGTCTTACTTCTACACTATAAGGAGGCAACCTTATACATACCCCACCTATGAATTTAAATCAATGCATAAAATACAAATAGAAAGAGTAGAATACAACACAAAAGTTGGGGCCAAAAGAGTCAAAAGAAAGACATTCCATTTCCAGGACGCCCAGATCCGAATTGCCGCGTACGCGACACAACGACAAGAGGAGAGAGAAAGAGGGATAGGGGACAGAGAGAGAGTTTCCATTTGCCAACGCTGCCATTCTTCTAGCGCAATTTTCTCGTAAGGATGGAGAACAGTGTTCCTTTTGGCCCTAATAGGATAAGATGCTCCCGCGGGAGCACGCTGTGGACTTTGAGCAAAAAAGATGCTTGGGGATATGAAATTTGGGGATCAATTTACTGATTAACATATCATTATTCAAAAATTTAATAACATATCATAAAGTTCCAAATAAATGCAGCCACCCAATTCCACATCTAATGGTTAAGATTAATTGTAACTACCTTGTAACAAAGGTAAATTGTTTCATTCTATACTTTTCCAAACCTTTATATAAGGGGCCCTTAAATAATTAAATTGGGGAGCAACTTAAAAATGTGTTTGAAGAGGTTGTTCTTGTGCCAAAAAATTCTTAAATCGAAAATCTCGACCTCAATATATATATATATATATATATATATATATATATATATGAAGAGAAGAAATAGATTTACCCCTCTATATAATGGGAACCAGTAGGATTCCTCCTTGAACTGGTCGGATCTTTGACTAAACCAACTAATTCTATTAAAAACCAGTCGAATCTGTCATGCCAAAGTCTGATTTTAATTTTTTTTTTGTAGGTGCACTTTTGAAAAAATAAAAAAAATTGAACAAATGGTAACAATCCATTTTTCTTTTGTTTCAAAAATTAAAATTACCTTTACATGAGCTCCACCAACCGATAGTATGCCGATGCTGTGAAGTGTGTACACACTCAGCACAGTACGCCGGTGCTGTGAAGTGTGCACACACTCCACAGCTCATGCCTATTGTGTGAGTCTAGTTTGATTTAATCTTGATGTGGGACAAATTAATCCCATTCCTTCACCAAACAAACTTTGGGTCTTCCTCCCTCCCTCCATCAAATTTGGCATCTCTCTCTCTTTTCATCATTCACGATGAGATGAGCGGGTGAAGAGAGAGAAAAAGAAAAACCATCGGTGAGCTTTTGGGAGAGATCTCGAGGGGTCTTTTTCAATTACTTGCACCTATACAAATTTTGTTGGTCACCATCACTTGCATTCTATCCATTCCATTCCCATGCAATCGTACCTCGTCCCCCTCTTTATAGCTTGGTGGGTACTATAATTTCCGCACGGCCAACTAACTTAAATAGTAAAGATAGTGCTGGAGACTCAACGAGGACCGTAGTTATCAAGTAGCCTGATTTGATTGTGATTTTTTAAAAAAAAATTAATAATTTTTTTAAAACAATTTAATCTATGACGTTTTTAATAAATCGATAACTTTTCAAGAAGAAATTTAAAACACGACATTTCAAAAAAACATTTCTATTAATATGATTTTTTTTAAAAAAAAACTTCAATATCTTTTCCCCGTTCTATGAAATTTCTATTTCTAATTTATTTCTATTCTCCCAAAACTTTCTCTGGATATGGTATGTATTTTTTTGGGTGGTCATGGGTAGACCATAGTTAGCAAAATATGGGTAGACTATTTCTTTCTAGAAAGATTGAAAATTGAATTCACCTACCCAATATTTATCTTAACGAATAGAATAGATAACAATCTTATGATTTAGATATGGTATGCCATTTTTATAATGAGTAATATATATATAGTGAAAGCATTACTCCTCGCTATTATTAAATTTTTCTATACTGGGTGATATATATATTTAGAGTTTCAAAATTTGTAATATTTTAAATATATCTAATTTTTTACTTTGATTTTTTGAGCTTAGTCCGATATATTCACGATCTCTTTACATGAATCATTTATGTCGATCCATATTGTTTACCCGACTTTTTTATCCAACTTTTTAAAATAAAAACTATTAGTTTCCGATTTCATGGTGAACCGATTTATTGATAATCCACGACTTGCTAACTATGCTCGGGACCTATCGGGTATACCCGACACAGATCTGGGATGGGTCCAACATTCGGACCCAACAGGTCAGGTCTATGTATGTATCCAAAACCTGGATCTGAACACTATTCAGGTCTGGGTACAGGTCCGGTTGGACTTGACCCATAGCCATAAATGGTTGGAGATCAAATAATTTAAGCTCCATTCGTTTTGGTGTATTAAAGATTGTATACAATAAAAATTCGAAGTCATTTTTAGTTATTAAATGACAAATAAGACGGCTTGAAATTGTGACCTTGTTGCCAATAATATAAAGTATATGATGGTAAAAAATCAAAAAACAAAAAAAAACGAAAAAAAACTCATGGTGAGAGTGTCAATGGACCCGACGACATCCAAGACCCAATAAGATAAACCTAAGGCCTGCTTTTTGGACCTAACCGATGGGGTTAGGTCCAAAACCTGAGCACAAATACCATTCGAATTTGAGTCCAGGTCCACGCGGACCCAACCCTTACCTGACCCGTTGCCACCCTCGGAGAGCGGGTCTCTGCCCCACTATTTCTTTCTCCAGTGCCAATAAAAGGCACCCACGGGGAACGGGTCTCTGACTCTCCTGCCCAACCCTCTCTCTCTTGAATCTCCCGACTTCTCGATTCAAATTTCAAAGCTTCAAGGAAACCACCCATCTGATTCGACCTCCTAAAAACGTGCAGTCTCTCTCTCCTTCTTTTCCCATTCCTACTTTCTTTCTCTCTCTAGTCCTTTCCGGCTCTCTTTTTTAAGGCTTTCTCTCTCTAAGCCCTTTCTCGCAGGCCTCCACCTGCTCGCTGTTTTCGGCCCATCTCTATCCATACCCCAACAAAAACTCCATTTCAGAATTAAAAAACACAGGAGCTTTTGTGGCCATCCCTCTCTACATTTATATAAGCCCTCTCAAGAGCGAGAAACAATGGACTCTCTACGAAAATCCTTCAATAAATCGTCATACAAGCAACTGGACAAGTCCGCCATTGAAGAACTATCGGAAACTCACCCCATGAAACCAGAGGACAAGAGAGAGGTGGTCGTCAATGTTGATGGTTCATCCCAAACCAATGGTACCAATCTATGGCGAGAGTCGAGCTATGATTTTTGGCCTGATAAACAGCAGCAACAAAGCAAAACCAGCCATGGCAGCCGTGGCCGTGGTGCCGAAGGCTTCGAGTTTCAGATGCAAGACTCAGGATCACCACCAACCAAGCTTATCAACCAGTTTCTTCACAAACAGCAGGCGTCTGGTGAGATTTCTCTTGATATGGACCTCGATATGGACGAGCTCCAGTTTTCGCCGGAGTTGCAGGTTTCTGGTGTGCAGAAAACTGAAAATCCAGCGATTCACCTTCCTCCACTGATGGAAACGAGGCAAACATCTTTTCCCAAGTCCTCCATTTCAAGAGAATCGAAAGTTTCTTTCGAGATTGCAGGACAAGTTGCAGAAGCAAGAAGGAGATACTCTCATAGCCATGGATCAGATGAAGATGGAGGCTCTGATACCTCTGGTTCTGGAAAATCAGGTGAGGTTCTCAAGTGTTCTTCTCGTTCCACGTCGATTCCTCGAAACTCTAGCTTGTTAAGGACCAAGACTAAGTCCAGGCTTATTGACCCACCATTTCCTAGTGAGGCTCAACCTATGAAATCAGGCCACACGCCAAAATCCGGCCAAATGGGGGGGAAATCAGGCATGTTAAATAGGCTTCATGATGAAGAAGAAGAGGACCCATTTTCAGATGAGGATTTACCTGATGAATTTAGGAGAGGAAACCTCGATGCGATGACTGTGATTCAATGGGTGAGCCTTTTTGTAATATTGGGTGCTTTTATTTGTAGCTTAACCATCCCTGCTTTGAGTAAACAAAATGTTTGGGACCTTCATCTATGGAAATGGGTGCTCATGGTTTTGGTTTTGATATGTGGTCGACTTGTTTCGGGTTGGGGTATCCGCATTGCTGTGTTTTTTATTGAAAGGAACTTTCTTCTTCGAAAGCGGGTTCTTTACTTTGTCTACGGAGTTCGAAAGGCTGTTCAGAATTGCCTCTGGCTGGGCCTCGTCTTGATAGCATGGCATTATATCTTTGATAAGAAGGTAGAAAGAGAAACAAGCTCGAAAATCCTGCCTTATGTAAGCAAAGTCCTGGTATGCCTCTTGGTGGGTACCCTGATATGGCTTGTTAAGATCCTATTGGTGAAAAGTTTGGCTTCCTCCTTCCATGTGAGCACCTATTTCGATCGAATTCAAGACTCTCTCTTCAACCAATACGCGATCGAGACCCTTTCAGGCCCGCCATCGATAGAGATTCAGCAGGTTGAAGAAGAGAGAGAAAAAGTTATGGCTGAGGTGAGAAAGTTTGAGAATGCAGGGAACAAGGTGCCCCCAATCGCTGGTTTATCGAGCAAGAGCGTTAAGGTTCTTCATAAGAGCAGGGTATTTGATAGAAGCCCTAAAGTTTCAGGGGCCATCTCTGGTAGAAAAGAATTCAGTAAGCAACAGGATGAAGTGATAACCATAGACCACCTCCATAAACTGAACCAGAATAATATTTCAGCTTGGAATATGAAGAGATTGATGAATATAGTCAGAAATGGGGCTCTCTCTACTCTTGATGAGTCAGCTCAGAATGCAAGCTCAGAGGATGAATCTTCGATGCACATTCGAAGCGAGTATGAAGCTAAGGCAGCTGCTAAGAAGATATTTAACAATGTTGCCAAGCGAGGAGCCAAGTGAGGATTCTTCTTTTCTTTGTGCTCTTCTCCTATTTTTCTGGTTTGTATCTGAATCAAGCATTTGCCATACACATCTGTAATTCTGTATCTTACTGATCTTTCTTTTGTCCATCCTTATGAATCGTGTTTTCTTTTTTATGGATTTGTGTCTTTTTCCATTACAAAATGAATTATCTTTTAATGGGGAAACCAATCTGTAGGTATTTTGACTTGGTTGATCTGTTGCGTTTCATGAGAGAGGATGAAGCCCAGAAGACCATGAGCTTGTTTGAAGGAACTAAAGAGACCAAGAGAGTCAGTAAAATGGCTCTCAGAAACTGGGTGGTCAGTCACTGTTGTAACCAGAATTATCTTGTTTTCTGGTATTTATGCCATGAATTTGTCTGTAATGCTCCAAGCACTAATTGAGAACTCCGTTGTTACAGGTGCATGCATTCAGGGAAAGGAGACATCTTTCATTAACTCTGAATGATACAAAGACAGCAGTAAACAAGCTTCACCAGATGGTGAACGTTGTGGTGTGCATAATCGTCTTAGTGATTTGGCTTCTTATACTGGGAATTGCTACCACCCATCTCCTGGTTTTCATAAGCTCCCAGCTCTTGTTGGTGGTCTTTATCTTCGGAAATTCTTGCAAGATGGTCTTTGAAGCCATCATCTTCTTGTTTGTTATGCATCCATTTGATGTCGGTGATAGATGTGAAATTGATTCAGTTCAGGTAAAACCTGATAAAACCAATCTGAGAGAGAGAGAGAGAGAGAGAGAGAGAGAGAGTACGTACTCGTATTACTTATTACTTGTACTAGTTGTATTACTCTAGAGTAGTTGTTACGGAGGAGGATAGTAGTAATTACTTAACTTAACTACGTAGTTCGTTC